GCTAACGAGACAAATCTTTCTTAGAAATTCTTCCCAAATGTATTTTGAACCTAAATTACCTAGTTACTCCTGTAACTATCTATGCTTGTGTTTTTCTTTCAGTTCTAATAAAATATAACTAAGTACCCATGGATTTAAAAAGTATAAAAAAAAAAGTATATAAGTAGTATATCCGTTAAGCTTAGCACCCATAACACAAGCATTAAGTTGCTTACTTTGGGGCTAGCTGGCGCTGTGTGAAATTGTCCAAAGATTTATTATTATTATTTATTATTATTTATTTTATTTAGGATAGGATTATTATTTTCAGCCAGCCTTACAACTATTAATAGTCGACTAAACTCTACTAGTAAACTTTTAATAATATAGAAATTACTTAAGCATAGTATGTACTTCTTGATGTTGACTTCGTATGTTAAGTAAGTTCCAGATGCATTATAACTTTAGAATAATGACTTCGGGATATGGATAGGGGCTTCCTCGTTGTGGATAAAATAAAAACAAGTAACAACAGGACTCTACACTGCGCGTGAACCAATATTTTGAGATTTTTATAAATAAAATAAAATAATTTACATTCGTTATGATTGATTGGCTTGTAATATTTCGTCCCAATAAAATATTTAAACAACTCAGTCCCTCTACTAGGCATTTTATCCATCTTTACTTTTCAGACGGTGACTGTCTTCTTGTTTGCTCAAATTACAAAGCTCATGTAGATTGTCAATGGACTGTATAATACCCTACACAAGAAGACAAAACCTTCAGTAGCTATCAGTTATATTACCAGAATTTGAAAATAACAAAGGGTATAAATAAGCTTAACGACAAAAATATAAATAAATCATTTGTAAAAGTTCTTGCTTGGTAGTTATGATTATGTGGTTATGAGGCTTACTGTTATGAAGTCCAAAATTTCAAATAGGTACATAAAATTATTTTTGGACTAACATTTATACTGCTGATTGATTTTATCATTAGTTATTATTCACAGTTATTGCAGAATTTACAATGTGATTCTCATTATATTAATTTATGATTTCATTACTACTAATTTCCCTACTGTTTATTGACAACTTCCTACACGCCATGTATCAGTATAAATTAATAAGTACACCGTTCCAGTGAATTTGGCTGGTTTACACAAATTATTTGGTGTGGTACGCTCCCTATCAGCTCCAAGATATTTTATCTAACTGATAATAGATAACGCACAGATAAATTGACATGACGTTACTACAACTGTGGCTACGACTAAAGTTTTTAATTAAAAACTAGACTAGAAAACGTGATTAGCCTCGTTTTAGATTTGATAATACGTGAACGTATTCTGTTTAGAAATATTCGTTGAATGTTCGGTCGAATGGTTCGTTGCTCATGAGTTAACATGCCATATCAGTCCATTGACAATGCCATAAAATCGTGTTATCGACGCAATAGATACGATGCAAATAGTGGGAGACAAATATTTACCGATGTTGCTTGTCAAACGGTGTTCGGTACACATGTCGAACATGAGTCGTTAGTGCGTTTCATGTTGTACACGATATCATCTGATTTTGAGTGAAGTGTTGTTCTCACCGGCTACATCAAAGTTCTGACGATAAGATATTGTTTTATTGCAACTCAATTGTTTTGTCTTTTGCTAATTATTGTGACCTATTTTATACTGCACATTTTGAAGTTAAAAGTGGACAGAACGGATGATAACAGCCTGAAATAGATATCTTTGTCATACTTTGTGATGTAAGATTTTTACACACATCAAGTGTGTTTATGTATGGATGCATAATCGGTAAGGTATGATGATGTTACTTGCTAATTTATTATTGAAAGCACGTTATTGTCTATTTATTTGTAATTTTTGATAACTTACTTTACGTTGTAGTTATACAGTTGAATGAGATAGCAAATAACTAATTTTTTGATAAATGTAGAGCTGGTGATATCAGATATAACTGTACTAAAAGGTACTTGGAATCTAAATTTTTGAGTGTTACAACCTACTTTTTGTTAGGTATTGTTAGATTTGAACCATTTATTGACTGTCTAGTCCTTGCCATTATTTATAGGATAAAGAGTTGTAGGTTTTGGTTGCTGAAAAGATGTAGAGTGCTATTTAATCGATAGTTACATCAACAAAATTATTTTTTAAAGATTTGTGAAAAGCATACATAGGTAGTTTAGTAGTCATTTTCCAATATTTTCTATCTATTTTTTAGATGTGAGTCATGTACATAATCATAATACAATGCAGTGCAACGTCCGAAAGTTGCCAAATCTGTACGATGAAAAAGCATTGTCATAAATACTCATTGAATTGAAAGTACAAGAGCATGACTAAGTAAAAGCTCGATAGAACTATAGGTATAATCAAGAGTAATAACCCTATATTCTCAACAAAAATAAAATAAACCTACAAAACGTTTATGTGGTATAATTGATCAGTTTCAACGTGTTAGTAATAAAGTTAATCATACCGTTAAAGTGAAATTAATCGTGTCAGCATTGACCACTTTTTCATTCAATAAAGTGGATTACCTTATACCTACCTACTACTTGGTCTAAAGTCTAAACTCGACACACAAAGCTCAAAGGACAATGACCAAAAGTGGTCCAAATGTCCACCACTAATGAGACCTATATTGGCTTATAGTCCATTAAATAGAGATTAACTTTCAGTATGGGACGAAAAAAAAATAAGCTGTCAGTAAAAAGTTATGACCGTTTGAAAAATTGTAGTAGTTTACGCGCTAATCTCAGGAACTACTGGTCCGATTTGAAAAATTTTTTTTGTTATGGATAGCCCATGTATCAAGGATGGTTTTAGGTTATATAACATCACCCTACAACCAACAGGGGCGGAGCAGCGACCACCCAACCATAATTCCAATATTGTTGTCTTTCTTCAGAGATTTTTTTTTTCTTTTAGCGAGAATCTAATACGGCACACTAAGCGAAATGACATAAAATGCATAGATTAATCCAAAATGTGCGATGGATATAATGATATCAAGAACATTTTTCGGATGAAAAGGTAAAAACATGACTTTTCATTCTGTCATAACTTTTTACTGACAGCATATTTTTGATTGCGGTTTGGTTATAATGAATCAGTATTTAGTAGACTATTTTACTACATAAGTCTCGTTAGTGGTGGACATTTGGACCACACTCCATACATTTTTGGTCATTGTCCTTNGCATACCCTAATCCCGTCAGCATTGTATCAACAACCATCGTGCGGATCGAATGCGATGTAGTTAGTGGTTCTTTTGTAAATGGGAAAGCAAGTCATATTATTTACGAGTTTGTACCTAATGTACCACCTGGTTATCGAATAATTGAAATACCTAAAAACTTAATATATTTTCCTGTTAACAAAGATTCCATAAGTGCTATTAACATAAGATTGTTGGACGCTGAAAATAAAGAAATAAATTTACGTGGAGAAGAAGTTCAACTGTACTTACACTTCAGAAAAAAATGTTGAATTTCAATAAAAACCCAATCACCTCGAGTACTCAAGTCAGTTCTAAAAGAACGCCTCATAAAGACACATCCCTTCAAGTAAAAAAGCAGCTAACCAAGAATAATAAAGCATTTCTTAAGCTAGTTGGTTTAATAAAATGAATATTTTAAATATATCTCAACAAACACCATACGATAATAGTATTGAAAGTTTTGAATACCATTCGTACAAACCATACGTAACCAGTTTCAACAAGAACGATGAAATGGGTGAATATCCCAAGCACGTTTTTTACGCGGCGGAGCTGAGAATCGATGGGAGAAATATAACTAGAGTGATGATTTTTTTTCTGTATATAGTTTAAACAGTGTTTCACACGATAGTAAAGTCTTCAGGACAATAGGTAGTTATTTTATGTGCTAAAAATTTTTTCAAAGACCCAAAATCTAATAGCGGTGGCGCGTCCTAACTCTATTTCTACTCATAAATTGTGTTATTCCTTCTTTCTCGGGGATCCGAGTAATTTAAGAGTAGTATAGCCATAAAATACATTAAATAAGACTTCCAAATGATATGAAAGAAATGTGATATTTCATATTTTAAGTGTTTTAAATAGCCTTTCAAAACTGTCCCACGAAAAAAAGCAATTACAGTGGCTCAATTTTGACACTCTCTTACTTCTCCAAAGAAACTTTGAGAGACGTAGAGTTCTTCTTCCCTGCATCACTCAGCTGTGTCCTCCTGATCGAGCTATAAAGACTTGCGACTTATGGTATTTTTCTTCCAGTAGACCCGTAAATATGTGTATCAGCGGTACAGGAATACAAAATTTTTCAATTTCGCTGACAAGTATATGAGTGAAAGCTACTTACTTAGATGCTAAACGATTCTTTAACATGATTAAAGTTTGGTGTTTTGTTGTATCTGCATACAGAAATTATTGATCAGAATTATAGTTTTCTTTATAATTAGAATTTTGTTACAGTTTTTAATTCCGGTGGCGCAATTTCGGTGGCTCCGGTGGCGAATCTATTGCAAGAATTGGTCTTATTGGCTCTGGAGCATTGTACCTAGGTCTACTAAGGTCTCAGTCATAACTACAATATCGTCAGTTAATCGAAGTTGTGTTTAATACTCGCCGTATCTTGATACTGAGCTCGGTCTAGCTCTGAAGCTTGAAAACCTCTAAGTGGGAGGTAGTGAAGACTTTAAGAGATTATGGTGTCTCCAACTCTGAACCCTCGCAGCAATCAGATAAGTTTCGAGTTCTGATCTTGGGGGAGGGCTGATATGATGAAGTTTTCATACAAATACTTCAGAAGTTGCATGTATCGACAGTCAATTTGACGCCATTAAAGAGACTGTAGCACAGCCCAGGTCTTGACCGAATCGAAGAAGGTACAAAAAGGCCAATAATAATGACTGATTATAGTCCTCAGTCTTCTGCATAATTTGACGCAGCCGCGCGTGCGAGCGGGACGGGCGAGGGGCGCGCGGCTGTGGGCGGGCGGCCGGATGATGTATGGAGTGGTGGAGTTAGGTTCAAATTGCTCCGGGAAGTGGCCGAGATTAGAGCCAGCGCGGGCCGCACCGCGCCGCGAGTGTAAGCCCACTTAAGACTGTTTTTAATACTAGTATTTTTTACGCGATCCCGACAGGATTTAGCGGATAAGCGACGTCGCCGCGATCGTGCGCTTTGATTTATCGGTTTCAGATTCGGTTACGGTTTGTTTTCTGGTGTTTACGTTAGTGGGTGACGGCCGGCCGCGGGTGGACGCGCGTAATCCCGTGGCTTGTACCAGATTATGACGGATATCAACGGATTTCGTGTACACACACTGTGAAAATCGACTTTCCGTGGAATCAACTTAAACCCGCTGTGGCACGTGTCTCTATCTGATTGCAAAAGTAAGTATGTTTTGTCATCAAATCATTAAATACCACAAACGTCAAACGAAAACAATCTTACATTTTCCAAAGGGTCTAACTGTGTTACCGTTATCCGCTTACTCTACAATCCGCTGTAGCAAATGAGTGTTCATTTATACTTTCATTATTTACTTTTTTCGTTCCAAGAATAGAAAATCTGTTATGTAGAGTCTACTGGTTAGCCAAAATGTTATAAGCTGTAGTTCTTATTAGAATCATATTGCAGGAAAATGGTTTGTTTACATTATCTATGACGGATTTTCTCAGTGATGATGCTATTTCAAAAGCATTACAAGGAAGGAAGAGGAACTAAGAAGATGATCTTACAAAATGTAGAGTACTTACAAATTGTTTCTACTTACATATTTTAAAGCACAGTTTATCTATTATATTTTTTATGAAACGATTACAAAGTCTAACCTAAAAAGTATCCATGGATAGAGTTCATCGCAGTGTGGATATTTTTCAAGCCGTGTATATTAATATTGTAATTTTAATCTAACCCATGTCAGATAGACAATCAATTTATTATTTCAAATCTTTAAAAAATATTGGAAAATTCATAATAACTCTTTATTGTTTTCGTGATCCATTTAAAACATGTTTATTCGTGATTTAAATGATGTTATACACTCGCGAGCAAAACTATGGAATCACTTACATGAAGTTGTTTCCACGCGAACTTGTGTACTAACGAATTCGTTAGTAACAAAAAAAGGGGCACCATTTTAAAGATTAAACTTTTATCTTTAAATTGATACCAAATTCATTTAAATCACACCAGTATTTAAAAAGATATCCCTGCTGATGTGAAGAAGTAACGAAAAAGACATGTATGAACTGTTTGATACGTCGTGATGTGCGACCTATTTACCCCCTATAAAAGCACGCGTTTTTAGATTTTTGCTTTCACACGTTGATTCATACACATCTCCGCTTCTTTTGACACTTTACCTGGGATTCTACACCTTCAGAAGCAGCACAAATCGTTGCACTATTGCACGAAAGGCTCAGCCAGCGGGCTGTCGCACGTCAGCGCCACATAAGCCAGTCCTGGGTTTCGAAAGTTTCAAGACGCTTTCGGGAGACTGGTGGCTTTATCCCGAGACCAAGTTCTGAACAGCGCCGTTGCACATCGCAGAGGGAAGACCGTTTTTTCATGTCAACCTCTCTATGAAATCGTCATTTGACTGGAATCGATGTCCTTCAAGAGCTCAGAAATGTTCGTAAGATAACTGTTAGCGAGTGGACAGTTCATCTAAGATATAAGCAATAGAATTTGACTCCAAAAAGGCCTGCCACAGGCTCGAAACTGACGGCAGGTCACCGATAAGCACCCTTTCAATTTGCTCGTACACATCTCGATGGGAAGGCGAGTAATGGAGGCGAGTTCTGTTCTCCGATGAATGCAAACTGTGTTTGCAGGGCAGCAGTCGAAGAGGTCGGGTTTATAGGCGGCCTGAGGAGCGATTTGTGCAGTGCTGGTTCGCTGAAACAGTGGCTTATGGGGGTGGCTTGCTCGACTTAACATCGAGATGTGTACGAGCAAATTGAAAGCGTGCTTATCGGTGACCTGCCGTCAGTTTCGAGCCTGTGGCAGGCCTTTTTGGAGTTAAATTCTATTGCTTATGTCTTAGACAAACTGTCTACTCGCTAACAGCTATCCTACGAACATTTCTGAGCTCTTACTGGACGTCGATTCCAGTCAAATGACGATTTCATAGAGAGGTTGACATGAAAAAACGGTCTTCCCTCTGCGATGTGCGCCGGCGCTGTTCAGAACTTGGTCTCGGGATAAAGCCACCAGTCTCCCGAAAGCGTCTTAAAACTTTCGAAACCCAGGACTGGCTTATGTGGCGCTGACGTGCGACAGCCCGCTGGCTGAGCCCTTCTTGCAATAGTGCAACGATTTGTGCTGCTTCTGAAGGTGTAGAATCCCAGGTAAAGTGTCAAAAGAAGCGGAGATGTGTATGAATCAACGTGTGAAAGCAAAAATCCGAAAACGCGTGCTTTTATAGGGGGTAAATAGGCCGCAACTCGCGACGTATCAAACAGTTCATACATGTCTTTTTCGTTATTTCTTCACATCAGCCGGGATATCTTTTTAAATACTGGTGTGATTTAAATGAATTTGGTATCAATTTAAAGATAAAAGTTTAATCTTTAAAATGGTGCCACTTTTTTTGTTCCTAACAAATTCGTTAGTACACAAGATCGCGTGGAAACAACTTCATGTAAGTGATTCCATACTTTTGCTCGCGAGTGTATTTAAACTGTTTAACGTAGCGTAATCTGTAATAAAAAAGTGCAATTAAAAACCTATGAAATGTAATGGAATTAGCTTAGATCAATTTTATTAATGCATTCGATTCATCAAGTGCTTAACAAAATTAAAAAGCAATTAAGATATAGATAAAATAAACGGCAAAACCCAAAGATAATTTAAAATGTTAAAATGTGGTTGCATTATGATTGTGCTTATTTAACTTGGTGATAAAAACTGAAAATAAATTATTTTTAGTGCACAATATTTTTAGTTTCTAAATTGCTGTTGTTATATTTACCAGGGTCTGAAAATTCAAAAGACACCGTTTGGTTTTGATGTTGTAGACTTGATCCAAACTGGTAACCTGAAAAGTTATATTATTTCGTCATTCCAAGGCCAGGTACCGACGGCATGTAAAAACCGTCTCTGGCGGATGATACTCGTAGAGTCTGCAATCATTGTCATTATCCCAGTGCCGGATTAAAACTACTTGATGCCCTAATAAGCAATCCATACGTGCGTCCATAAGTTTCCTAGTATCGCTCTTTAAAAAAAATCTAATCAGCTTTTTAGACGTAGGCTTACGCGACTAGCGACTTTTACGGGAATTAAATTCGTGAAAAATATTTTTTATTATTTTTGGTGCCTCCCAAAACCTGATGCTTTAAGCAATTGATTAATTTGCTTAAGGGTTAATCCGGCGCTGTATGATCCCAATATTACAAATAACCTAAACTACAAAACTGTCCTTATGAAGTAAGGAAAATTGTATAATGCACAAGTTCTGATAATGACTTTTAATAATGTAAAAGTTTAACTTTGCGCAAACGCATGATAGGAAATGGTACAGGCAAAAAATATTTATTTCAACAAATGTGTTTTCTATTTTCAGCTGCCCATTTTTTTTATTATTCTACACTAGCTTCCCGCCCGCAGTTTCGCCCGCGTGGAATTTTTCGGTTTTTTATATAACCTATGACACTCAGCAATAATGTGCCTTTCTTTTAAAACGGTTCAGTAGATCCCGAGATTACCCCTTACCATTTAACAAATATACAAACACACAAACTTTACTTCTTTATAATATTAGTATAGACTAGTGGCCGCCCGCGACTTGGATCCCGTTTTACCCCCCTTCATCTATCTTACGCGGTTTAGATTTTTTCATACAAATGTTTTTTCCCGCTATCTCCCGTTCCTGTGGGAATTTTGCAATATCCTGTTGTAACTAAGCTTTAAGTTTACTAAGGACCTTAAGCGGTTTAGATTTTTTCATACAAAATAATTTTCCCGTTAATTCCCGTTCCTGTGGGAATTTCGGGAATTCCTTGTTGTAACTAAGCTTTAAGTTTGTTAAGGTACCTACATACCAAATTTCACTTTGCGTATCATCTTGGAGCAGGCATCAGAATGGCAAAGGGAAGTCTATCTTACCTTTGTAGACTTCGAAAAAGCCTTTTGATACGCTAAAGTGGGCAAGCATATGGTCGCGACTCGCTGACATTGGTGTCCCGCCGAAAAATATCGATCTACTGAAGGCCACCAACGGCGTGGAATAGAGTGGGGTATAATCGGAGTCTTAGAAGACTTAGATTATGCCGATGACCTCTGTTTGCTGAGCCACACGCATCACGATATGCAATCCAAAATTGATGACCTACATCGAGAGGCGGGCATCACGGGGCTCAAAATTAATTGCCGGAAGACCCAAGAGATGCGATCTGGAGTGAGGAATTGCACACCATTACGGATTGGTGCAGAGGATGTGGAACGTGTCCACAATTTTACCTAAATCGGGAGCGTCGTGTCAGAGACTGGAGGTACCGAAGAGGACATCACTTCCCGCATTGCCAAGGCTAGAGCTACCTTCGCACAACTTCGCCCCGTATGGCAGTCACGGAAACTGACCCGAAGGGTCAAGATCAAAATTTTCGGGTCCAACGTTAAATCCGTGCTGCTCTATGGGTGTGAAACGTGGAAGGTCACCAAGGTCACCTCGCACCAGCTGCAGGTCTTCGTCAACCGCTGCCTTCGCCGAATTCTCGGCATATACTGGCCTGAGAAAATCTCCAACGTCGAGCTATTGGAACGCTGCCACGAAATTCCGATCGACCAGCAGATCAAGCGCCGCAAGTGGAACTGGATTGGCCACACTCTCCGAAGGGATCCCGATCACATCCCCAAGCAGGCTCTGGATTGGAGCCCCCAAGAAAAACGTAAACGTGGTCGCCCTAAGCACACTTGGCGGAGCCCTGTGGCAGACGAGGCAAAGAAGATCGGCAAGACTTGGAGCGAGATCAAACGCATAGCTCAAGACGAACGCGATGGAGGACTGTTGTGGACGCCCTCTGCCCCATCTAGGGGACATAGGACCATAAGTCAAGTCATACCAAATTTCAAGCGTCTAACTTAAGCGGTTTAGATTTTTCATACAAAAGGATTTTCCCGCTAATTCCTGTTCCCGTGGGAATTCCTAAGTATACTATAACCTGCCCAGGAGTATGAAGAATAATTGTACCAAGTTTAGTTAAAATTGGTCGAGTAGTTTTTGTTTCTATAAGGAACATACAGACGGACCGACGGACAGACAGACAGACAGAGAGACAGACAAAAATTTTACTGATTGCATTTTTGGCATCAGTATCGATCACTAATCACCCCCTGATAGTTATTTTGAAAATATATTTCATGTACAGTATTGACCTCTCTGCAG